ACCTCATCAGTCAGCCCATGTGAAAGGGAACCAGGGGCGGACTGACCATTTGGAAACTCGGGCACTGCCCGAGGGCCCGGGGTCAGTAGGGGGCCCCATGAGATGCCTCTGGTACCTTTTTTCATAGGCTTTTTTGAGTTTGGGCAAGGACACAGGGGCCCCATGATCCCCTATTGCCCGGGGGCCCCATGAGTTGTCAGTCCGCCCCTGAAGGGAACTTGGCCTTTCTGGTTTTGCTGTGTGTTCTTCATATGTTTTGGTTTGATTTATACATTTTGGTTATTCAGTGCTTAATTTACAGAAAACATTAGGGCCCCCACCTATTTTTTTTATTATCCATGCATGTAGTGCATGTCCTCAAAGGTAGCCATAATTTTTCATTTTCTCTTATATCGTGACAGTGCCTCTTTGTTGGCCTTGGAGTGTACTGATTAGATCATTTCAACCTCTTCTGCTAATTTCATTATTTATATATTTTCTGATGGGATTTTCCAGCTTGGTGTTGGTGTCTGAATTTATTTTGTTTTAATCTTTCTGTCTCACTTACTGCTCTTCCTTGGAGAAGAAGGGGTCCACACCGAGGAACTGGACAGTGAACTAGGTAAATGTTACTTTGTATTTGTCATGCTGTTGACTTCTACCAAAAATGTTCCAGACAGAACGTTTTTTTTAGTTTTCAGTAGAGCGGGAAATAGTAAAAAAAAAAAACCCATTCAACCTTTATTAATGTCTGTGTCCCCAGTTGGAGAGCATTGGTGACCATAGATGGATCAAAATTCGGCTGGTTCAGCAGGGACCGGTTCAATTTCGATCAGTGTATGGCCATCCCCATTCAACAGAGGTCAGTCTTGTTGATCAGTGACTGCAGTCACTGATAGCAGCAAGTCCAACTGTCAGAATACAAAGTCCCAAGGGGGGATTCTTTTATCCACCTTGTTTGTGTAGATGGAAAAATCTATTCAGCCACTGGCTGAATGGAAAAAAAAAATACTATGGCTAGTTTGTTTTTTGCATGGTTAATGCTGTCACTGGGACAGAAAATGAAAAGCCTAAAATCGCACACGTTTTAGCAGAACAGGAGGTGAAGGGAAATCTACCAATGGGGAAACCAGGTCAGGAAACAATTGCCAAAAATTTGAAATCTTTTCATCAGTTAAAGCTGAACTCCACAGTAAGGAAATATTGTCTACATAAAGAGGCGTGTGTATTCTTTATGGAATCTTGGTTTGCTGTGTGCATTTCTTCCAGATCTGTGCAGTAATCCGGTTACCTCTGTGCAGGAGCTTCCTGTAATAAAGACCAGTCACTGTTGCTCTCTCTCCTTGTGCAGGGTGACTGGTCTTGTCCCCGCCCCCTCCTGTAGTTTTGGAAAAAGCCTGTAGTGGCTGGGGCCTCCTGGATCTCTCCCGCAGCTCTGCTCTTTGCATAGGCCATGTCGTCATCTCTTTTTTATTATCTGGATTTGCAAAGGCATTTTATATACACAAAATGATTATACTGTATATTTTTTGTGGCTATTGAGGAATACATTTTAATGAACATTTGTTGTTTTTGGAGCTCAGCTTTAAAGCAGAACTATACTCACCATCACTGCAGCTTTGTGACGTCCTTGAGCTCCCTCACTGGTGCCGACATCTTCTCTCTGATTTCTTCTGCTTTCGGGATCTTTTGCCTCTTCATTGGCAAGGTCTCAATGATTCAATGATATAAAGAAAGAGAGGGAAGGTGCCTCAGAGTGTAGACTGTCATGAAATATTTATTAAAAACAAAGTAGAAATACACTCACATAATAGTCTCTGAGTTGATGTATCATGAAGCGTCCTCTTCCACTGTTGTATATAGCTGTCACCCTCTCAGCCTACGGTCATCTGAATGGTGAAGGGAATTTAAAACGAGGGTTGGAATGCAGTTGGAGCACAAGCCATTTCGGCATGGGTGTACTTTTAAGTATGCCCTTGTGAACGAGGCCTAAATCCTTTCCCTCAGAATATAGTACAGTATATAAATGTGTTTCCGGTAGGCCTTTAATATTCATTGCTTGGTGAGTTGACGTCACCAGAAATGACGCGACACGTTTCGGTGCATGTGCACATCGACTGGCGTCAGGCGCACTCCTTTCTCAAGCTTGAGGAGCTTGCTTCCTCTCTGTACAAGAAGGCTTGCCATGAAGTAGATATTGTCTGCTTGCCTCATTGATACTACCCTTGAATCTCATTGATTTATCATCACAACTCAAGGCTAGAATGTACAAGGATATATCAGTCTGCACCGGGACCAAACACCTTTTATGCAGGTCTCGATGTAACTCATGTGCATAGGAGTTCATTCATCCTGGCATTGAGGTGTGCAGAGTATGTACACTGAGCTGCATGTGCATACATTCTAAGGAAACTTAGACAAGAATATTTTATTGCAGAAGAAACAGTATGTCTCTTCAACATTTAAACGCCTGCCATCTTACAAATTCCTCTTGATTCCAATTGGCAGGATAGGAAGTAAGAAGACATCTCTCCAATGGGGGATAGAAACCGCAATAAAAAACGAACAGGGATTCAAAAATTTTTCCTAACACCATCAAAAAAGAGAAAACAAGCATTTTCTGGCGTTTTTTATTTAGGCCTCATTCACATGGGCGTACTTAAGCATACACTTGTGCCAGGGCCGTGTTTGCCCACATAGGATGCATAGGTGTCCCATGTATCCGTGTGCAGGCAACCCCATTAATGTCAATTGGGACATGGCAGGTGCACCGACACATCCACTGCTCCCTGTTTTACATCCATGCGGGTGCGTGTCCCCCAAAATGGACATTGTGAGTTTGGAGACCCACACCCACATGGGTGTCAAATTGGGAGCAACAGCTGTAGCCCAGTTGGTATAAATGTGACTGCTTGCATGCGGATGCATGGAACATTTGTACATCCTGTGTAGGCAAGCATGACCCTTGCATGGGTGTACTCTTAAGTATGCCCTTGTGAACGAGGCCTAAATCTTTTCCCTCAGAATATAGTACAGTATATAAATGTGTTTCCGGTAGGCCAAGGGTGATTTACCCTTGCAGTGTTCTCCCCCATTGCAAGGGTTTACCTAGGGGATAATGCATAAGGTGATATACTTACCTTATTCCTCATTTTCTCAGCAGCCAGTGCTGTCCTCCATATGCTGGGTTTTAGGTGGCCCCCAGCGTCCTTCCAAACAATGCAGGATTACTAGTATTGCCTTGTAGGGAATGACATCAGAGAGCTGCGACCGGTCAGGTAGTGAAGATAAGAAGTTTCTAGTCGTTTGAAGAGCAGAAAGCCTGTAGAAGGGATAAATAAAGCTAGGATATCCCCCTGTTCATCACCCCCTAGGCAAAATGAGCAGTTAACCCTTACAGTGGGGAGGAGGGGACATTACAAGAGCGAATATTTTTTTACCTTGAAGTTTAGCTATCAATTATTTGAAATTATATTCTTCTTCTTGGTACGTTAGTTTGCAGCTTTTATGGAGATCCTGGTTTTAACTGGTTAAAAAGCATCATGTGACCATGCATCTAAATGTTGCCATACTTTGCCAGTTTCATATGTATAACAAACATATACATAATGTACGTTTTATATTTTGTGGATTTATGAAATTGTATTTGACTTGACTATTGCCCAGTTGGTGCAGACGTGACCTCATTACGTTTAAAACAATACAGAACAAGAATTTTCAGGAAAACTGGAAATATCAGCCTGCCTTTTATGTGATGGGTCCTCCTACTGAGGTTTTCTTCAAACACATGCAGGCGCCACCTGCTGGTAAGATCTGGTATTGTGAAATGCCTTTAAAAAAAGAATTACATCCCGTTTCCTAAAAGAATGACATATAAGGCATGCCTTGAATGATAGTGGTCACAGTTAATAGAGTTCTTATGTTAGCACTCAACCAAACTGTCAAGCCATCAAATGGCTGGTGTCACAGCTGATCATGTGCAACACCATGGCAATTGAAGATCAAACCAAGGCTAAGATGGCAGCTTCCTTGGCTTTAAAGATTGAAGAGTTTAGTTCTGCTTTAAACTACAGTTACTCTGTAGGGGGACCATTTTATCAATACCAGACTTCATATGAATTACATTTCCATCAGTGTGATGAGGATACCACTTTGTAAGAGCTCTAGTAGTCAATATTATATCGGGAAATGTGATTATTAAAAAATTAATTTGACCTTAGACAGTGTTTGTTTTCAGCAACATTAAAAAAAGTAGGCAGCAGAGCCTGCCTATATAGTGAACCAATTTTGGTGTCCCTTGTACATATATACACTATTTTGCCAAAAGCATTGGGACGCCTGCCTTTACACGCACATGATCTTTAATGGCATCCTAGTCTTGGTCTGTAGGGTTCAATATTGAGTTGGCCCACCCTTTGCAGCTATAACAGCTTTAATTAATCTGGGATAACTGTCCGCAAGGTTTAGAAGTGTATCTGGGAATGTTGACCATTCTTCCAGAAGCACATTTGTGAGGTCAGGCACTGATGTCGGATGAGAAAGCCTGGCTCGCCATCTCCACTCTAATTCATCCCAAATGTGTGTTCTATTGGGTTGAGGTCAGGCCAGTCAAGTTCCTCTACCTCAAACACGTTCATCCGTGTCTTTACGGACCTTGCTTTGTGCACTGGTGTACAGTCATGTTGGAAAAAGAAGGGGCCATCCCCAAACTGTTCCCCCAAAGTTGGGAGCTTGAAATTGTCCAAAATGTCTTGGTATGCTGATACCTTTTAAGAGTTCCTTTCACTATGGGCCAAGCCACCAAACTTTACACTTGGCACAATGCTGTCAGGTAAGTACCATTCTCCTGGCAACCACCGAACCCAGACATGTCCATCGGATTGCCAGAGAGAGAAGTGTGATTCGTCACTCCAGAGAACACATCTCCACTGCTCTAGAGTCCAGTGGCGGTGTGCTTTACACTGCTGCATCTGACACTTTGCATTGCAGATGGTTATGTAAGGCTTGGATTCAGTTGCTCGGCCATGGAAACCAATTCCATGAAGCTCTCTACGCACGTTTGTTGTGCTAATCTGAAGTCAACATGAAGTTTGGAGGTCTTTAGCTATTGACTCTGCAGAGCGTTGGCAACTTCTGCGCACCTTAGCATGCGCTGACCCCGCTCTGTCATTTTACGTAGCCTACCACTTTGTGGCTGAGTTGCTGTTGTTCCCAGTTGCTTCCACTTTGTTATAATCCCACTAACAATTGACCGTGGAATATTTAGCAGATAGGAAATTTTACGGATGGACTTATTGCACAGCTGGCAACCTATCATGGTACCACTCTTGAATCCACTGAGCTCCTGAGAGCGACCCATTCTTTCACAAATGTTTGTAGAAGCAGTCTGCATGCCTAGGTGCTTGATTTTATACACCTGTGGCCATGGAGGTGATTGGAACACATGAATCCAATGATTTAGAGGGCTGGCCCAATACTTTTGGCATTATAGTGTAGTTACAAACTATACATAGAAGCAAGCCTTTTCTAAAACACTTGTACAGAATGATATGATTTATTGCTTGTGTTCACACACATATCTAAAAAATATTTAATGTGCATGTGTAGACAATTTTTAAAAATTATTTTTGGATAAAGCAAGGAAGCATTCAAACCACTGCCAGGTTATTTTTCCGTTCTCTGTAGGGATCGAAGTGTGTCCTTAAGTGCCACCTACAGGTAAAAAAATATAGTAAATCGATCTCTTTTAAAATGGTAGTAAACCCAAGTAGTCTAAATATTCTTTGCCAAGAATTTTTAATCCACTGCAGCGATATATGGTAAAGGAATGTTTTGTTCTCTTAAGCACTCAGTAATGTAGACTAAGCACAGTATGCAAGTAGTCTTTTTCCATCCCTCTGGTAAGAGTGATTGTATGCTCATCGAATCAGAGTTTAGTAATGGTGCTAGTTGCAGACCAGACGAGATTGTTAGACCTTCTTCAGATTATTACAACTGATCCTCCTTGTTTTGAAAATTTTTTGCAATATAAGGCAAAAAGAAGAATCTGCACTCACCAGAGGAGCATGTTAGCACAAAGGTACATTTATTTTAAGTTATACTCACCTTCATCTTGCTCCTGCTGGATCTGCATAGCGTGGCTCCTTGCAAGTTGCTCCTTCTGTTAATGCATGGAAAAAAATCATCTCCATTTATTCCTATGGAAAGTCTATCAACCTTTAGGATGCATAATACAGTTGTGGCCAAAATTAATTCAACCCCCAATGCTGTAAAGGGGTTTAGGGACTATAGTGTACATTTGGAATTGTATTCAGAATCAAATCCTACAAGGACGTTGTAACTACCCAAATGCAACTAAAATGACATCAATTGTTTATGTAATACAGTAGTAAATGGTTCTTATGTGGTTTCTTCATTGCCACAATTATTCAACCCCTTAAAGACTACCACTCTGAAGAACAGAGGTTCATACAGGTGCTTTCCATCAGGTATTGAAAACACCTTGGATGTCACCGAGCAGCAATCAAGCATAATAAGCACCAATTAGGCAGCTTTAAAATGACTGTGATACTCAGCTCCTTCTAGACATTTACTGGTGTGGTTACAAACATGGTGAAGGCAAGAGAATGGTCCAGGAAGACAGAGAAGAGGTGATTTCTCTTCACAGGAAGGGCAATGGCTATAAAAAGATTGCAAAGATGTTAAACATACCAAGAGACACCTTAGGAAGCATCATTCGCAAATTCAAGGCAAAGGGCACTGTTGAAACGCTACCTGGTCGTGGCAGAAAGAAGATGCTGACTTCGACTGCTGTGCGCTACCTGAAGCGTAGAGTGGAGAGAAGTCCCCGTGTGACTGCTGAGGAACTGAGAAAAGATTTGTCAGATGTGGGTACAGAAGTTTCAGCCCAGACAATAAGACGCACACTGCGTAATGAAGGCCTCCGTGCCAGAACTCCCAGGCGTACCCCTTGCTGTCTCCAAAGAATAAGAAGAGTCGACTGCAGTATGCCAAAAGCCATGTGGACAAACCACAAAAGTTGTGGGATAGTGTTCTGTGGAGACTGATGAAACAAAATTAGAACTGTTTGGGCCCATGGATCAACGCTATGTTTGGAGGAGGAAGAACAAGGCCTATGATGAAAAGAACACCTTGCCTACTGTGAAGCATGGTGGAGGGTCAATCATGCTTTGGGGCTGTTTTGCTTCTGCAGGTACAGGGAAGCTTCAGCGTGTGCAAGGTACCATGAATTCTCTTCAGTACCAGGGAGATATTGGATGGAAACGTGATGCAGTCCGTCACACACCTGAGGCTTGGGAGACGTTGGACCTTTCAACAGGACAATGATCCCAAGCATACCTCCAAGTCACTAGAGCATGGTTGCAGAGGAAAGGCTGGAACATTTTGGAGTGGCCATCGCAGTCACCAGACTTAAATCCGATTGAGAACCTCTGGTGGGACTTAAAGAAAGCAGTTGCAGTGCGCAAGCCTAAGAATGTGACTGAACTGGAGGCCTTTGCCCATGAAGAATGGGCGAAGATACCCGTAATCGCTGCAAGACACTTGTGTCAAGCTATGCTTCACGTTTAAAAGCTGTTATAACTGTAAAAGGATGCTGTACTAAGTACTAAGATTGAATGTCACTTGGGGGTTGAATAAAACTGATAATGCTGTGAGCACAGAAAAGACATTGTGGTTATTTCATTATAACTGTTATGTTATATTTGTCTGACCTACAAGTGCCTCTTTAATGTAAATGTAAGCAAGATGACTGAATGATCAAAAGCATGTCAAACTGGCCAAAACACTCAATTTCAGTGGGGGTTGAATAATTTTGGCCACAACTGTAAATGGATTTTTCATAATGAATGGAAATTTTTCATGCATGCACAGGAGAAGTAGCTTTCCGGCCAGGAAACATTGCAGCTTCTGCTGTATGGCTCTCAGTGGGTCACACAGTAAAAAGTTGACAGAAGTAAGGATAGGTGAATATAGGGTTTTAAGGGGGAGGGAATCAGTTAAGACAGTGGTTGTCAATTTATGAACTAAAGGGGGTCTCAAATGCAGCCCCCGACATCACCCAAGGGCCACACATAATGTTCAATATATGTAATGCTTGAGAGTACTGTCAGAAACTGCAGATATAATAGAGGAAATGAGGGTCAGGGAGTGTGGGCATGCTACATTTTGTATGGGGATATGCTGCAGGAGACAATAGGAAGATGGGAGCATGTTGTTCAATGCTACTACTAATATTGTTACCACTACAACTGCTGAGGTCTGAGGGCCACACATCATATGTCAAAGGGCAGCAGGTTGAGCACCCAGTCAAGAGGACCTAAACTACAGAAGCTATGCCCAAAAAAGACAAGCCAAAGACAAAATAGAAAATCACAAGGAGATAGGTGCAATGGAAATAGCACACCTTAAAAAGATAATTATGTAAAAGGAAATTGGGAATAAAAAAGTCCCGTAAAATACAATATACTCGATCAAAATGCAGTCCCATAGGTTCAATCCACTTGGGCAAGCTAATCCTTGGAGCAAGATGCATTTAGAGGAAAAGTGCCTCTAAATGCAGACTTTGGCAGACATTTTTATTGATTCTCAAAAATGGCCACTCACATTCTGGAATAAATCAGAAGGTTCATCACTAATACAACCAGACCTGGTCGCTTAACTCTAGGAAGTGAAACGCCAAAGGGAATCCATGTATCCAGCTGTCAAAGGGGAGGACGCCAGCCAGAAACCATCCAAAGCGAGGGCTGGAACGCACCATGGTCTGCAGCGCTGGCATGATGTCGTCAGGGGAGGAAGCACTGCTTTTCCGAGCATGCACAATGCCACTTTCAGGCATGCGCATTCCTTTGTCAAACTTTAAAGCCACATTGGGCATGCTCGGAATTTCTTTGGATGTTGGATGGTTTCTGGCCAGCATCCCCCTCTCTGACAGCTGGATACATGGATTTCCTGTGGCGTTTCTCTTCCTGGAGGTGAACAATCAAGTCCCAGTTGTGCTAGTGATGAGCCTTCTAATTTCTTCCAGAATGTGAAAGGTAATTTTTGAGATTTAATAAAATTTCTCCCAAAGTCTTCACTTAGAGCTGCTTTTCTTGTTTCTTTGAAGCCAAAGACAAAGGACCAGTCACCAGTATTGCCTTTTGGGTCCCTACAGCTGATCTTTTCCCCATTACTGATCTGTTTGGTGTCTCTGTGCTGAGCCAGCCATTTTGGTAGAGGAGCAGGGTTTAACTTCCACATTACTCTCTGATGGCTGGTGATCTGATCATGAGTGGAGTGATGATCAAGGAACAGCAGAAGAGAGGTTGGTAAAGAATCCACAGAATTAATGAAGTTGAAGCAGGGAGATCCTTGTACTGCAGGTCCTCAGGTACAACTTCCTTTCCAGCAAGTAAAACAGTGAGCAACACAGGAGTGACATCACCATTTATGGAAAGAGTAGCAGTCATAGGTATTAGTGACTTAAATTATTTTACACTGCTGATGATATACAGCTATGAGGCTCAAGAAATTTATATTAAACTTGCAGGAGCAATCCAAGATAAAATTAGATTTTTAGGATACTGTTTTGGTGCAGTTAACATTTCTAGATGTCTTCGATTTTTCAGTTCAGGTCTGCTTTTAAAGGACAGCTGTACTAAATTTAAATGCCATCCCACCCAGTCCTTCATCCTGCATTTGACAACAAATCTGCATTCCAGATTTCACCTGCAGCAGCCATTGATAATGCAGAACAACCATTAAATGTAGTGGCTCTCTATAGGGAAATTGGGACAGATCCTCCTGGGGTCTACAATAGCTAAGGACCCTCCATATTACTACACAGAGGAGCAGTCATCAAACAGAAGACTTCTATTTCAACAATCACTTTTAAGCCAAAATGATTTTTACTTCTTGGCAATAAGTTACTGTCTGTCGCGTCAGATAGTTTAATACAGAAATTTAGTCAAATATAATTAAACAGCTTTGTGAATTTAGTATTGCTTCGGTGCCTTTTAATATTTTCCTCTCCATTTAGATGGAACTGAAGTGATACATTTAAAGAACTAATAGAGAATTAAAAATGACTAATTGCACTCCATGATGTCCACTTCAATAGCAGAGCATGCACAATGTGCTCAGTTTGATTACTTTGCATGCCGCCGTTCTCTACGAGTGCAGAGAGTGCCTCAGAGACACCAATTCAACCTGTGCCCCGCCAACAAATTAATCTGTTTTTTATAAAATTAGTTTTCTTAGTGGAACATGACTGATAGGGCAGATTTCACAATTCAGGGAGTGATTATAAACCGTGAAGATGATGCAAATAATGTTGATTCTGTAACTGATGGAGCCTTGTTCTCCGGTTCTGTCAGGTTTCTGCTACTAGCC